ATGACTTCTTCCCTCGAAGCTTTCTTTACTTCCGGTCATTTCCCATGCTGACATCGCACCCGTCAGCTGTGGTTTATACCCGTGCAATTTCTCATCCAATTTACTCGGTTATTAGGATTTTCATTCTTATTCCCTATTACGCCGTACAATCTTCTCCATCATCATCAAAGTTAAACGCTGTAACGCAGCGATCGCTAAAAGATTTGCCAATCATTTCGGTAACTAGATCATCTGAAACTAGTTGATAAAAAACTACGTTAATTTGATGGATCTATTTTTATTCCCAAGAGTATCAATTTAACTCTGTTCAATGTTTCGTTTTTGATTCAACGATTTAACTTTGAAAAACGTTCTTTCTATTTTAGAGATATCTGTACAGAAATGGGAAGATAACGATGTTAGAAAATTTCGGAATAATAAACGCTTACATAAATGTAATAAGAGTTAGATTGTATTTACCATTTTTTTCCATGAAAACTGCCCACAGTGTGAACATTGATACGTCAAGGAATATGACTCATTAGAAATTAAAAAAAAATTAGGATTATAACAAGTTAAATCATACAACTATTCATTTTTTTCTTGGCTGCGTTAATCAATTCAATATTTATATTACTTTATACCTGTCTAGGAACGTATGAATCATTGGGTTTGAAAGGATTAATTACAGAGAAAGATTGAGAAACAATATTTTAATATTGCGTACATATATTGCCTTGCAATGACAAAAATCAAGACGTGCTTTGCCATACGAGATTTCCGAGTTTTTTTTTTTGACATGGTAGAACCAGCCATATAGTTTACCTCGGTAGTATAGTTTGCTTCCAATGCTATTTTCCGCTAGATACCGTCGCTGTAAATCTTTTCCTGAATTTATGTAGGTCGACGCTCGTTTGCTTTTAGCAGTATGTTTATAACCGTATCTCGCGTCTCTCGCAAATCGCGGGAAGATACCTCCGTCCTAAGCGACGTTTCGATCTCAGTCGAAATCGAAATGAATCAACCCAGTTTATGTACATTTGCTTTCCCTACCTGGTCGATATCGATATTCTAATAATTTATACGATGGAAAAATATCTTTATGATTCTTATTTATTCTTGAGAGAGAGAAAGAGAAAGAGAGAGAGAGAGAGAGAGAGAGAGGTGATCGATTTGGAAAGCTACTTTTGCAATCCCTCCTTATTGAGACTGTAATTTCCTTTCTTCAATGGTTTCTCTCTGTCTCCGTCCTTAGTAACTGACGTAGCGCGGTAATTTGGTAATTTACGTACTTTATCAACGCTGGTCAAATTTATTGTTCGTAGCAGATTATTACAATTTCGGTGAATGTCCGCGCGCAAGATACAATCCGAGCTGGTGCAACGAAGGATTCGCGAAAATTGGACAGAAAATTACAAGGAGATGATAAGGAGGAGATGTGATAGGCGCAGAAGGAAAGAACGGAGGTAAAAGGTGGAACAGCCAGGGTGTCGGGTTCCATCGAGTGGGTGCTGGCGTGACCACGAGCAATTTCGACCCGTTTTCCTTCGCCTACCTCCGTAATCCCTCAATTCGTAGGTAGCCTCACCACTCAGTCGTTTTACTGAGTGGAATAATACGGTGGATCGCCAGCTGGGACAAGGTCTATGTTAATAACACAGATCGCTTCATCGCATGCATGCTTATTACTTAGTCGATTCAACCCAGTTTTGATTCGAGCTGTGTACACAGAGGTTAAAACATTTGTTGCCCTGCTAATATATGAATATTAATGCGCCTGTCGAAGGGATCGACCGTCATTCTTCTGAGAATAGAACACGGAATCGCCTTAGCCTTGCACACCTCGTTTAAACACACGAGTTATCGTTACGACTCCTTCCCCTACGTGTTACATATCTTTGCAAAGTTTTCTTTCCTTCCGGCATGCCGTCTTTTTATGAAGTTTATTCCTACTGTCTTCCACATTAATTTCATTCGCACTTCAAATACGCTTGAAAATGTTTGTAAATGATATGTGAATCG